GTTTGATCAAGTCTTGTAAAGAATTTGACGGCGCATCTTTTGGAAAAACGATCAGGTTTAAGGATTGAAAAGAAAAGAAATGATAAGCAAAATACGAGGAGGGCCATTTATTCTGGGCCACTCGATACTATCAAGTCAAAACCGTAATTTTATAATAACTAATAAAAATTAACCTGGAGAGGCGAAATAGTCTGGATTTAAACTTGAGAAGATGTTTGATATCTAAAACTTGGTTTACAGTTCTTTCCTTTTGATTTTGACCTAGTGAGTGGATGTAAAATACTTTTTTATACAGCAACTTTTAAGTTTACAATCAAATAAATTAGGCTTAAACTTTGTCATGCGGATTTTTTTCAAAAATGACTTTGACACTTTAAACGCCTCGTGTAATAGTTATGGTTTATCACAACAGAAAAAATTTTTCAAAAAATTACGGGACAAAAAAGCCTGTAAATTGTTTTCATGGGACAGACGGGTTCGGGACAACATTATTTGCTCACGGGCTCGGGCTTACGGGACCGGACAAATATTTTTATGTTCGAGTTCGGGCTTACGGGCTCGGGACAACAGAAAAGTTTGTCCCGCAGGACTCTAATCATAAGATGTTCTTTTTTAAAACGAAATATTTCCTGTTAAGTCAGTAAGCCTACTTGAAATATTCTTCAGAAGGTAACACAGGCTTTCGATCAAGCAAACGACTTTGAAGGTTCCACCATCCAATCTGATACAGTCCTTGATCACCCCATGAATAACATCGGCCATTCGGATCGCGATAGGTATTTTCATAGTCACATCGCATTATAAATCGATTGTAATCATCTGTACAATCTAGAAAGTATTAAGAAAATACATTTAATCTTTATTGTACGAAGGTTCTACAATATTCCAGCTACGTCAAAAAACATAATATTAAACAGGTATGATGACGATTATCTACAAAAGGATGTAAAAAATATTAAGATAAACTCACTCATACTAGACCACGGACCACATCTCGACCAATCGAGTTTTGTTCGAAATGATAATATTAGATATAAAATTGAATATCCGGTTAACATATTGTAATAGACACAGAGAAAAAACGACATTAAACACATTGATATTCCAAGGCCTACATCACCAATAGTAAAATGAATGATTAGTAGTTACATAGCTATGTGTTTACCTTTGAAAATCGGTGCCATTCTCCAGCTGTTTATTGTTCCTTGTGATGTATATTGTCCAAGATTTAATTCAAGAAAAAATAATGGAATACCGATTAAGAATAAAAATATGAAAAAAGGTATTAGAAAAACGCCTGAAATATACCAAGATAAATTTCGAACTGTGAATGAAAGTATAACATTATGCTGTTTCTTACCACCACCATTTCGATAGCACAAATACGGAAAACGCCAAATAGCACCTAAATATACACAAAAGCCATGTAATCACGTTTGGAACTGAAATTAAGTTGAACAATCTCACCAAGTCCAACAACGTAGCCCAGACTGGAAAATAAGAAATCAAATTTACCAGACCATTGTTCCCGACCATTTTTGTCCACTTCATCAACGACTTTCTTCTTTTTTTTCTCTTTTATATCATGAGTCTCATTGCTCTAAAATGATAACGTTTCACTGTCGAACCAAAATTGTTTAATTTTGCGGTGACCATAAACTAAGGTATATAGCACAGAGACTCAAGTTTTTGAGTTCAGTCGTCCATGAAAAAATAACTGTTAAGTGATGTCTATGGGTTCAAATTATAGGTAATTCCAATCTTAGATTATTCGATGGCATCCAAAGATGAGGATGTTAAATCTGTAAGTTGATAAAAGTTGCCTCAACTAGTACACAAAAATAAATTAAGATAGACCAACGCTTATAAGAAACAAAATGAAAAAAACGAATTTCTCATGTGTTATCAACTTGTCTCTTAGTTTAATACTGTTAACAGGAAAATATGAAATACTTTTGAACATTAGACAGCTGTCTAAGACAGAAGACCGTGGATCGCAGTTTGCTCAAAATAATCTTTTCCTCGTATCTTTAGAACCGGGTGAGCTGATGTTCAATAACTGTGACTGGAGCCTCATACAATCAGAAAAAGACATCTATACACACTTGTTTACGTCTATTCAAGGTTTCAATGCTGCATTTGCTTCTCATAGTACAAAAATAAAACGTTTTTATTTCTCTTTTCTTCGATATAAGTGCAATTCACGAAAACTTTTTGGAATAGAGGTAATCCGAGTTTATTGACTCAAAAAATTGCCAGTCCAATCTGAACTATGAATTCAGACCAGTTCATACACAGTTCTCGTATGTAATGAAGTAGAATACACTAATAATCTGGCAAAGATGCATTAAAGGTGTCATCGTCTTACGTTGAGTCTTTCAATTTGTTAGCAACTTGATGAACTTACTGAATGTTCAGAGTATTGTCTCTCTCTAAATTTATATGAGGTAAGATCTCTCGATAGATCATACCCATCATATGTAATATGTGGATCATATTGAGGCAATGAATTGATATAAATACTGTTATTGTCCTTGTTTGAATATGATGATATTGGTTGATTGTCATACCGTGATTGAATTGCTGCAATCTAATATATAAAAACAATAAGAAGTTGAGATTTGTTTATTAAAATTTATCAGCATAAAATTATACCTCTGAAGGAAATTTTCTTAGAGGTTCAAGAACCGGTAACGACGGAGAATTATTATGAGACATCAAATTTTACAGTATTACAATATATTTCTCTCTATCTCTCTCTTGTGTGAACAACGTCTGACATATATGTACATTTAAATTGTTTTTTGTGAGTGTGGGTTAAAGAACAGGAAAAAAATAACGTTCAAGCGAAAGTTTGTGCGTTACCTACAAACTACTGAGATATAGCGATATACACGCCATAGGTAATACGTACGTGTGTGTCAGAGGGTTGATTGAAAAAGTAGACATTTATACGTGTGAATCAAATATATAGACAATAGTACAACAGATTTTTTCCCTTCTCTTCACTGCGGTCAACAAAAGATAATTACTTTAACTAGAATAAGGCACATTTCTAGTTCAAAACGGAAAGAATATTGTTTCAAAGTATAAGGAAAGAATGTGAACTTTGATATTTTTTACACTCCATTACTGTAAAAAATAATTTTGGTAACATGTGAGGCAAAGCAGAATATAGGATTTATAATGTATGGACAATTGTTTTAGTATAATCAAAGAAATTGTGAGCAAATTTCTCAAGATACATAGCAAGTTTTTCATAATGCATTAACCTTGTAAAATAACTCTGCCATCCTATGAGATATGACTTAAAAATTTATACAATATCTTCTAGCATACTACAAAATATTTATCTTGATGTAAGATTCTGTGAATCTGAAAAAAAAGCATACCTCACTAAACGCTTAAGAAAGGGTTTAGTGAGAAGGGTTCACGAAAGTGAAACTATACAGAACGAATATAGGTTTAGGAACTTTCCTAAACCCTTCCGAGTAATTTCAGATACGAAAAAGAGTTTTTTCAAAATTTCTTTTAGTTTTATAAAGCAAACCATAAGATTTTTCAACCGAGCTACCGAACTCCAAAGAAAAGGATTTATTTTGGTAAATCTTTTACTCTTCTAAACCTTTTTTCTATAGTTTAGTGAGGTGCGCTTTTTCCATAGAGTATGTTATCAATCTTTTTCTGTTTCTAATCGTAACAATATTTTGTTCGAATTTTAAACGTGTTAGTGAGGATTGTATATAAATCACTGAGCTAATCAACAAAAATGTGAGAAAAACATTTTCTGACTTTTTACAGACATTAAAAATTTGATATCTGAATCCGGAGATATCAAGCGATCGAATGGATGTTGGATGAGATTTCTAGTTTTCAGAAAATCTTGTGTAGCTTTTACCTACACATCACCTGATTTCAAACTCTTCCGGTCACAGAAATCAAATTTCTTTTAGTTTTGATGATTCGGGAAAAGAGTCCGTTTTGTTGAAAGTCCGTTGTTGTACTTGTTGGTAGTTTTCCCGTATTAATAGTTTATTAATTACGTAGAATGGACAAGAATAAATCAGAGAAAGAGAGAAAGAGAATAAAAATGGATTAGCGATTACTCTTTATTTTTCTCCTTCACATATTTTACCTACACCAATAATCTCGTTTATAGTGTACTCTACCCTGAAATTCATATGGGATATATTAGTGACGGAAAAAGAAAGAGTTACTTTTGCCACTTAATTCTATGAATACAGTCTATTTTCTTATTCTCTTTCATTTACTCAAAGCTAAACCTCTAGACTATATGAGAATACTTGTTTCAATTACAATGTGAGAAGAAAAATGTGTTCTTCTTGTTTTTTTATTCTCACTCCACCTACAATTAAGACTTTTTTTGTCAATAAAGGTCCAAACCGCAAAAAACGCGTGTGCAAATGTACTAGTACAATAATTCCATAAATAAACTCTTCAATTGTGAATTTTTCTATACGAACCATAAATAGATGTTTTTATTACTATCAAGTAGTTTCTATTGAGAAGTATATATTGTTTCATTATACTTGTGAAGTTTAAAGACAAAATGCTGCTGATTATAAAAGGCAATAGACAATAATACATCATTCATTAAGGCTCAGCTTCTAAAAAACATCAATTCATTTGTAACAGAGTATCACAAAATATCATATATTCATAATTTCAAAAATCAAACTGATTTCCTAAAATTATTTTTTATGTATAAAATAGTGCATTCGTATAAATTAGACCACAAAAATTATTTTTCTTATCAATAATCAATCTTAGGATAAGCAGACACAACTCTAATCGGCATTACCTAAACAGATACTTATATGAATACAACACTTTGTTATTGTCTTAACTACTTAATTTGAAGCTTTTTCATTCGATATGAACAAGTTCCTTTTCAAATCTGTTAGACTTTGGAAGAAATGCAACCAATTCAATGTTACTATAATGTAAATCGTACTATTTCTCCATAGAGTAAAAATTACACAGTGAATAAAAAAGAAATATCGATTAGGTTACAATAAGATACAAAAATTGATTTCAATACAGATATTGATAAACGTTACACAGTTTATTATCATCGTTCAAAATCTTAAATCAGCATCTTTATGATTTGTCATACGTGATGTATGATATCCATAATGACTTTTTGGATTACTCCTGTCTATAATTCGTCTTTCATAATTTTGTATTCTTCTGTGTGGATGTTTTTGCCTTGAAGAGCGATCAAAATCCTCTTCTTGTGGCGGTACATACAATGGATAACGATATCCATCCGCTGATCGAATACGTTTACTTGGATCAAGACGATAATCATATTCATCTCGATGTCTCTGATGCCTCTGTCGCCTAATTTGTCTATCAAAATCTAACGATGACGAACGTTGTGGAAAATAATCGTCATACTCATCAATTTGATAGTCTCGTCGTCGTAAGTTGTTCGACTGTTTTTCATACAGTGGTGCTTCTACACGTAGTTCACCACCATTGATTCCTGTATCTAAGTAACTAACTACTTTTGATAAATTGACATCCGGTGGTAGTGTAATTTTTCTTGAAAACTTTTTTGATATATTTCTGTTTGGATTTGCACTTTTGCGTTCACCTTGAACAATAAGATCATGTCCTTGTATGAACACTTCAAGATCTTCTTGTGCATAACCTGTACAATCGATTCTGTATTCAAGTTTTTTCTGATCACCATGTCGACTTGATGCATTTTTATCTCGTATTAATGATGGACCACTCGTCGGTAATGTTAACATTTGTTCAACTTCATCGTAAACATCTCTCGATCGACCAACATTCGTATTTTGACTATCAAATGAATCTCTATAGGAATAGTGCCGACGTGGTATATCAATAACTAAATTTCCATCTCGTTCAACATAACTCGTTAGCTGAGCGATATCGGCATCATGTGGAATTTTAAATGTTTGTACAACATCTTGATATTTTCGATAATCAATATAATTGGAAGAATTCGTTGAACGACGGTAACGAGCAGTAACGATTATTCTCCCTCGTTGAGATGTATCAATAAAAAAGTCACTTTTTCGAGGAAATGGAGAATCAACAACAATTCGTATCGCCGATTCATCATTGCTTGGCGATGTCGGTCGAAGTTTCGATGCCAAACCGCTTCGTCGAGTATAATGACGTGTATTTGTAGATGGATGATGCCGACGTGCCTGATAGGTATCATCCGAATCAGAATAATAATAATGACTCATAAAATTGCCACAAATATTTCAAATACCGAGAAGATTAAACATAATACGGTTAGTTATTTTTCTTACGGTTTATAAACGTCACACTCAAATCTAAAATAAATATTTTTGCTAAAAAAGTAACAAAATATAATTAGAACTAATTTTTTTAAAGAAAAGATAATAAAATGGAAACCGAGCGAGCTTGTGCATTTTCATCGTCTTCATATTCAAAAAACTATATTTTAACGCTTTTGTCTCTTAACTAGAGTTACAATTGAAATAAACATCAGATGTATGTTTAACAGCAATATCTACGTCGAACCGCGTACATTTCATCCGAAAATAGACAGTAATACATTTCAAACTTTTTCCAAGCGTTAAGAATCTGATATCGGTGTCTAGGTATACCAAATGATCGACATATCGTTTGTTCGATAAAAACCGACTGCAGATTCGTCTTCTCCATAGTCGATTATCTAGTACGGGATAACTGTTTGATCGGAGGAGTTCAGAAAAAATTTTGACCTTTTTGTCTTTGGTCCTACACTTTAACTTTTTGAAAAAAACGAGCAGGGCCATGAGGAAATATTTTTTCTAAAACTATCTCGATCCAAAAGTTGTCGTGTATCAGATATGGAGAAGACGAATTTGCAGTCGGTTTTGGTTGAGCAAACTTTTAAAATTTTTCGATCGCGGATAAATAGATGTTCCAGGCGTCACGTGGTTAATCTTAAGTTAGAGGAAAGATCTGGGAGGTTTAATGTGGAATTCTTTCCCATGAATTCCAAAGAAACTGACGAAAAAGAGTTTATTCGGCAGAAAAGAGGAGATCTGGAATATATTTAACTCTTCTCATGTACGCAACAGACAGAATTCAGTTAGATTATTGAGATCTTCGAAAGAATCATCTTTAATTTCCTACACTACCTGATTCAGGTAGACATCATGAGCAATCTGTTCTCAGTTTAGTACATACAGGATACCAGCTTTCCACTTTAGATTAACAGGTTACGTCCTAATGTCCTGTGATTACGAGCGTTTTACCTAATGACAGCGAATCCAGAAATGGATACGTATTCAAGTCCAATTCGTTTATTAGCACATAGAATTGCATGAGCATGTTCAAAAGAAAATAGTTTTCAATGAAATGAATCTAGAGAAGAAGTAGACGAATGATCACATTTTCACGTATACGTCTAATTTGACGATAGATCGATTCTAATCCGATTTCAAGTCTATTTCTTTGTCATTCAGTGCTCAATATCTTAATTGATGAATATGAGAAGCGCTAAAACTATTATAGCCGAATGGAAAAAATGTCTTCAGTAAAATGATTTCAGTTTCACCACATTGAATTCAAGACAGGCGAAGTTCACTTACCAATTCTTACGAAAGTGTTAAGTATTCTGAAACAGTAGCACTGTACATCTAACGCTGAGCAGTTCTATTTTTTCTTCTCTCACAAAGTTTTTTTATGATATTAAATACTTTGTTCTTCCACGAGTGAAACAAGAATAACTTTATCAAATTTTTCGATCACATATGAAATCGCTTTACACATTTTTTTTTTTACAATCATGATTATAATACAGTCATAAAGAAATGTATTCATCATAAACTCATTAACAATTTACTTTTATGCATAAAAGTAAATTCATATTTTATTTATGTTTTAAACAAAATAATTTCCTGACGTTTTCAAACGTTTTTTTTTTCTTATCACCACTGTCTTTCATCATATGAATAAGGCAAAGACCTTTTCTTCCTTCTATACAATAATGATGATTTAGTAAATATGACGTTGTCCTTGAATGAAATTTTTTCAAATGATAACCTCTGCAGATCACAGGCAGAAATTATTATGTAATTCCAATATAGACTATAGTCATCATGTATTGAAATTTGTATAGGATATTGTGTAGGAGGTGACACATCTGAGTGAGACAGTCTATAGGTCTTATTCAGTTAATTTCTATTTTAAAGCCAAAATGATTTTCATGAGTTTAATGTTTATACTGTTTTTTTGTTTAATTTTGTTTATCATTATAGTCTTCACTGCAAAATGGAAGAAGAAAGAAAGAAACAGGATGATAATAAGGGAGCTAACGTACGATCAAATAATAGCTCATACAAATCTTTTACATTCTTTCAAAAAATTAACTGTGGTGAGATAGTGGCCTGTTTGACTAATAGTGATATTCACCGTTAGAGATCTTTCACAAAAGAGTTGGATCCATTATTTAATTTAGCATACACGATATTTTCGAATGATAATTTCTGCATTCTGAAAAGTAGTGTCTCAATGTTTCACATTTATCGCATGCACACAGATCTGTATTGGTAAGGTTACATATGAATAGTTCATTGTTGAGCGGTAGAAAATCAACAACAAATTGTACAAATTATTTTCATAGCTTCTTTAGCCTAATGAACTTTCGTAATAACTAGTAAAAAATATATTTCAACGATTTTTGCTAATGTCTTTAAAAATAAAAATAGTTCTGAGAGCATTCATTGTTCTGTCATCCCATTCTTGATCAGTAGTAGGTAAAAGTGTTTTTCCAAACATATCTAGTTTTTTTACAACAGGTGACTGTCAAACTATTGGTTTGTTAGAACAAGTGCTCATATTCTTCTCTGTTAAAAAATTATTTATTTCCGTATCTGTTAATCTTCTTCATAGTTTGTAAGATAAAATCATTGACCATATTGCTATTACAAATGTCAATGTTCGTACTTACATGTCAAGAAAGGTGGCAGATCTCGTTATTCACATGACTTTCAAGCTACTCTAAAGAAAAAAAATTTCAGATAATTTTAATATCTGCACTACTTCGATTGAAAAAAAACACGTATTATAGTCAACGTTTCAACCTTCTCCTTCTTCTCATATTTTCATCACGGTGCTGGATGACCAGCTGGTGTCTATATTTCAGAAGAAACTTCTTAATTAATACTAAAACTATTTTATAAATAAATGGTCTTTCGTGCTTTTTTTTACACTTTCACTTTCTTCATGTTTTTAGGTACCATGTATATTGTATCGTGTACAAGACATATATGTTCTAACGGTATAGTGCTTCGTAATCTTATGTATATTTTGTACAATCAAAAATCAAGTATTGCAGAAATGAAAGAAAATGATGAATTTAGGTGTAATAAATGATATTGAAGAGAAACTTGTTACCTAACGTTCTTATTCTACATATTGTTAGACTGAGTAGGTTTTTTTTCTTCTTCTGAATGGCAAGGACTAATGGTACTTGACCTCATTTTTATGTCTGATGATGAGTTGTTTATACTAAAAAAAGCATATCTTAGATTACAAATGAGGTGGATTTTGATTTGTAATATTCATTTAGTATCGATTGTAGACGTAAAAAATAATACCTTGGTAATGATTCATAATATTGGTCTGTCAAGCTAATCAATTACTGATGACTCGGATAGAAACATGAATACTCTCAACAAATTGAAGGACAGCTTTGAAGTTGCATTACATCATAGAAAGTTATCAACTCTTCAGCTATTAATTAACTTCTCACCCTCCTCTATCAGAAATACAAAAAGTTTTGTAAAAAGTTGATATTGAACTCAGCACATCAACGACTAACCTAAGACATGTGCCATCAAAAGTCATAATGATATAGACTGTGCCAAAGGTTCTCGAAAGCTCTTGACTCTCATCTTTCCAATTGTTGTACTTGTATTTGAAGTACCACAAAATAATGTTTAAGAATAGTTTACTGAATATTTCACAAACTACAATAAGTTGACGCCAAACATACTCTTCGTAATTCTGCCACTGAATACGTTCGATTATCGTTGTTTAAAAGTAGTCGTATAGATGAATGACCGGTGATTTTTGTTTTGGAAGAAATAATCGATCTGAATGAAAATTACGGCGAATGTTATTTCTATCAAAATATGTTGACAGTAAAAGTTTCCATCCGGAATCTTGAGTTTATATGAGGCAAAAAATAGATTTGGGCATTTACCAGAATTCTCTATTTTGAGACCCAAAAAGCTCAGGCAGATAATAAATTAAAGAGAAAACTTGCCACTCTGATATAGTAGAGTCATGAAATTTGCGTTCCTTGCTTTTCCCCAGTATCTATTATGAAAGCCAGAAAAATAACGGGCTAGTTTCTTAGAATCTTTTTGTTGCTCAAAGACGGAGATGAAAATAAAAAATAAGGGCTGCTCCAAGCCATACCATCGAGCTTTCTCTTTGACTGATAATCAATCCGAGCATTCTGAAGCTTAAAATAAAGGCCATGTCTTGTAAATGGCGAAAGATCTAAAGTAAATAAACAAATTTGACACAAAACACTGTGCATTTTAGAACGTATAGAAAAATGCTTTAGTTTTTAAAGCAGAGTAGCACCGAGTTTTGTTACGTCTTATTCTGACTAGAAGAGTTTACTTTACAAACTGCCGATAAAAAAGCAGTTAAAAATTCAGCTCCATACGTGTTCATAGAAAAACCCATATTTGAAGATCTTATTTTTCAAAGCTCCTGGAAAACTTTCTGAAAAATCATGAAATTACTCCTGGAACAAAAGACAATATAGATTGTAAGAGAATACACTCTAGGCTATTTGCCCATCTGTAAATCCTGAAATTGACTTTCTTGCGAGTAAATCTGTTTAAATTGACTTTTCTTAAGTAAACCTATCTATTTTTGGCCATTTTCACGAAAAATCAAAAATATCTGAAAGTTGAATAGATCGGACTCGAAATACAAGATCTCCAGTTCAAGTCCGAGTCCGCCAAAAAATCTTTCAGTCCGGACTTAGACTCGCCCAAGCCTGCTAGAAGCCAGTTGTATAGCTTGATCAGAAGACAAATTCTATTACTTTGTACCGTGGATAATTCTGCATCAATTGATGCATAAAAGAAAACTTTTTATCACTCGAGGAGTGTTTTTCTAAGGAGTACAAGTGAAAGAGGTACTACCCATTTTTTGGGACAATTTTCAGTAATTCATCAATTCTTCATCTTTTTTGATGTTTCAACATGCACCAATATCAAATCCATCTCATCTGTGGAAACTTGAAAGTTTCCGAAGATACACTGTTTTTTATTATACACATGCTTCAAGAATAAGAAAAGTAAAAAAACACAGTTTTGGTGGCAAAGTTTTCTGGGAATCCAACTAGAAAGCCAGACTTTTTGCTTGAAGTTTTTTCTAGTGTTCACATTAAATCAGACGTACAGCAATTCGGATTAACCTTTCACCCCCCCCACGGGTTACCGGAGTGACGATTTGTGATAACGTAACAGAAAAAAACGAAGCATCAAACGCAAAACCTTTCCAGATGTTATTTGTTACAGATCCCATAAGCTATCGATCGTTAAAAAAAATTTCTCTCATCATTCTTTCTTCGAGCTATATAGCATAAAAAAATCGAATTCTAGCATCTCTGCTAGGATCACTATGAGGAGTAAAGCGTTAAATGTCTTCTGAAGCTTTCAGGTCGTTGTGTTCAGTTTTGACAGACTTATGAGAAGTTTTTTCACTATTAAGCAAACAGCCTAAAATGGGGGTTTTCACATAAAGTCAATTTTCACTAGGTTCTTAAAATTTTTATCTTTTTTTTTTACGCCTCTCGAAAAGTTTGTATGACTAAAGTCAGTAGATAACCATCGTTCACCAACATATTTCTAATTTGCATATCATTCTCATTCTCATTGTCTGCTCTCTTAAATGTCAGTCAACGCCCATCCACCTTATACAGAGAATTCGATGAGATTCAAAATACTATATGTAATATGAATATATTTATTGTGAAATGAATTTTTGATAAAGGAGTATAAATAGAATGCTAAAATTATCGCGTTCTAAAAGGGAGAAAATATTTCGTGGATGAATATCACTGGTGAGCTACTCCTGCAAGATAAATCAGCAGTGTAAATCAGCAGTGTCTTTAGGTATCCATACTACCATGGTCACCTAGGTGGTCACGCGTTTAAAAGCATTTAAATGCTTTTAAATGAGTGAATTCAAACAATTGTTTGAGTTCTATTAGTTCAGAAAATGTCATAAATAATTAGACTTATTAGCACGATTAATTCACTAAAAAGCAAGAGCACTTGATCAAAAAACAGAATTCAAATTGTGATGTGATAGATATGTGCATACTTGTTTATATACAAGTATAGAATTTACACTTCGCAAACGGAAATGCGACGCAACGAGATATAAAAGAAGCAATCGAGATGGTTAATTCGTAGTGAAATATATCACTCTGAATCTCATCACTTCGTATTGTCTCGAACAAAAGGCTGACAATACCCTTAGAGTGCTTAGCCAGGTTCAGTTCTCAATATAATTATGAACATCGTCAGAACAGATCTAAAGCGAAAAAAGCGATCTTCAGATTTGCGTTTCAAACATCAAGCAACCTGTGGGGTGATTGTTTTGAAAGCGTACCAGAGTTTACATCGTCATTGCCCGAATTGTTCGGGATAACAGGACTAGTACAACTCGGCCTCCTGGTGACGAATATCACGTTTAAAAAATTTTAAAACAATGGCATGGTGGCCTTCTAGACCTGTGGAAATCCCATTCCTAGCAGAACCGTCCTTGTTTTGTCGACATTTTCACGATTTTTTAGTGAAACACTTTCATGAGCTGGTGCCGTCAGATTAGATTCTATATGTGCAGAGCTAAAAAATCACTAGCGGAGAAAACCTTCCGAAATGTTGACCACGTTCTCAGGAAAATATTTAAAAATCTCGTTTTTTCCGAAAAGGAGGCCGTTTTTGTAAACTACTTCTCGGAAAAAAGGACTTTTTAAAACTTTTCCTGAGAACATACTTAACATTTTGGAACATTTTGTCCGCTAGTGATTTTGTAGCTCTGCACATATAGAATCTAATCCGACGGTACACCAGCTCGTGAAAATGTTTTACTAGAAAATGGTGAAAATGACCACAAACGGGCTGTTCTGCTGGGAATTGGGAGTTCCCCGGGTCTAGAAGGCCATCATATCGTTGTTTTAAAATTTTTTAAACGTGATATCCGTCACCAGAGGGCGAGTTGTACTAGCCCTCTTACTCTCGAACAATTTGGACGTGATCGATGTAAACGTGATACGTTCTCGAAAGCATCATCCTGTATCAATTGCGGCTCTTGGCTATCTTGATTATAAACGATGGTTTTGAGAAACAAATATCGACCAATAATATACTAACAGAAAAATGCCACTATTCTTATAGTTAAATAAATTACGTTGTCTATAAATATATGGATGAACACTCACTCTACACAGTAGCGCCGCCACAATCAGGTTTTTCTTTGCCACTAAGTGAAGGCCGTTTCTATAGTGAGACAGAAATAAATGATAATTGTACAGTTTAACGTACGTGCAGTTTGTTCATACTCCTTTGAATATTGGTGATAGCAATGTCGGACGCCGAAGAATTGAATGCTGAAGAAGAGATTGAACAGGAGGAAAATCAGAAGTCTGAAAATGAAGAACATCAAAAATCTGAAAACGAAGAACGTCAAAAGTCTGAAAACGAAGAGCATCAAAAGTCTGGGAACGAAGAACAAGAAAGTAGAAATGAAGAAAATCCTGAGGAACCCGAAGAAGAGGTTTGTATCTGAACAACTTATTCGGTATAAATCGAAAATTAATCAATCAATAA